ACAGGGCAGACAACCAGGAAAGAAAGGTGCTCTGAAAGAAAACATAAAGTACTCTTTTCAGTAGAAACATCAGTTCGTAGCAATAGACACAGAAAAAAACCTTTTGACAATCCAAACAAACTCCAACCAGAAACTGAACAAGACAGCTGCTGTCTCCTGCTGGAAAGCTGGCGTGTTGAATGTGGGCTGTGGGAAAGCAGGACTGCCAAAAACCTCTTCAGCCCAGATACTCCCTTGGCTGATGCAACATGGTCAAACACATAAGCATCCAGTGACATCCTGAAACATTCAAGAGGTATTTTCCTTTCTTTCTTAGTTGAAAGGTGTTTAATGAAAACACAACAAAGCCTTGTTAAGAAATAGGTATGATGTTGATCACATGACGATAGATACCGTAGCTATTTAATGAAGAATTCTGGAAAATATATTTTAATTACTTCATCTATTTAAGAATATTTCCTATTTAAATAGCTGGAACCGACAGGGATTGCTTTTTAGAAACTGCCTTTCTGACTGCAGCAGGCTCAGCTGAGGAGAACTCGATGCCTCATCAGAGAGGCATGAAAATTGGAACCACAGCTAAAAAGTTTTGCGAACGAGAGTTAAGAAATTTTGAAGAACAGATGAAGGCATAACACATTTAACATCAGACACAGCTGCTCCTAAGTTTCACAAAACCTGAGTAACCTTTGCTTCAGCTCCTCTTCCTTTCAGGGTCTGTTGATTCTTCCCTCCACAACACATAATTGCCCCAACGGCACTTAAGCTGTTGGTGTCAGGAGCGCTCCAGACTCCGACACACATCCTTCCTCCATGAGCACCCAAACTTACTCATTCTCACACACCGAAAGTGAAACATGTCTCATTTAATCTTCCCTTCCTCATTCTATGCAAGGAAATATTCCTTTCTTTTTTAGGTCTGTTTCATAAGGGCTTCTGACTTCATGGAGAAAGTTGGTCTGAGAGAATCACAGGCTCCTGTCACAGGAGGCAGAACACCTCCTGCTTCTGAGCCATTCTTCAAAGACAACCAACCAACCATTGTCTCCACTCACTACAATACCCTATTCCTACTTTACCTGACTTTAACAGGAAAGAGCAGGTATTCCCATATCAGAAAAGACAAAGATGTGCGTGCTGATGTTGCAAGGGATGGGAAAATGCTCAGCTGAACCCCAGCCTTTGTGAAGGGGAAAAAAAGCACAGACTGCAGGCAAATTTTATGTGCTGGAGGGAAGCGGTCGACCATTGTTTCCTAAATGTTATGCATTTCTACTAGATCTTACAGGTTTGTATCTCCAAGGTCTTCCCTAAATTGCAGAGGATGACTTGCTTCACCTCCCCACCCCCAAGCCCTGCTTTGGGTCTGGGTACAAGGGTTACGTTATCAGACACACGGTGAGCTTTCTGTGTCTGGCAACGTTGCAGGGTTTCTGTTCCACTCTCACAGCTACAAAGCTGATTGCATGCGAGGTAGAAACAATCAGGATTACGAGCACCTTGATTAGAAACACTTCAGCCCTGCCTGGATGGCGTTAGGTGGCTGTAAAATAGTTCTCACCCACCTTTCACTTACTTACCAACTTCTCACCAAATTTTCTGAGGTGAACAGACCGAAGATAAGTAAGAGCATCCTGCAGACTTCACAAAATCCCATCAAGATCCTCTGTGAACCACACACCACCCTGAGCGAGCAGCACTAGCCCCAGGAGTAGGAAGCAGAAGGCAACTTTCTCTTAAATGGCAAAGACTATGAATTATTTCTAGTTACTGTTTTAGGAATTAAGTTACAGAACACATAGAGAAGTACAAACAAGCTGCGGACAATATGAACAGTAATTACTAGCTACCAAGGCTGGGTTTTTTTGTTTGCTTGTTTAAAAAAACAAAACAAACAAGCAAACAAAAAACCCCCAAAAACCCACCCCACCACAAACCAAAACTAAACAGTTATAACCAAGACCTAATAAGCAGGTGGTATTTTCTTGAGTCGTGAGTCTATAAGTCACAGCCACAGGAAAATATGCAATTAAGCATATCTTTTGCAACATAGAAATTTGTTTATCCTTGATCTTCTGGTTTGTGTGATTTCCCAGGATTTAAAACACCACTCCCTTTCAACAGTAAATCTAGGACAGCACCAAGTGAATACAAGAAGATCAACACCATATATGATTTTTTTTACCTTGGAACCAAGTAAGAACTATTTGCTTGCTTGGAAGCCAAGAGATCGTATATTAGCTTTGACATACATCTAGTTGAAATACAGACTTTTGTTATAAGTTCTGTAATTTTTTTATGGAAGAAAACAACAAAAATTAATTTTAAAATTAACTTACTGTATGCATACAGAACTTTTAAAAATCATATTGTAATTATGTTCTGGCATTTTTTCTTCTTCTTTGAAAAGTAAGAATTAATATAATCTGTATACAGAAATGTTTTGGCATATCAATTAGTAGGGGTTAAAAAATTAATAAATTTTAGCCACTAAAATTTAAATGAGTAAATGTTTAAGTCAGATGCCCAAATTTTGCAGTCTTTCCGTTTTTCCATTTTAGAACATCTTTAAGACACAGAACACTCAACAAATACTTTTGTGAATGAAATTTTTATTTACACACTGTATCCAGAAGCAGATACATAAACCCTTATACAATTATTTTTCAAAAATGTGCAAGAAATTACTATAATTTCATTTACAAACCAAAACACATTAAAATCAATGGACTTTGGATAATTCACTCTGTGGCGTGCTCAGTACAAATAGTGCACACCAGGTCTGAAACAGAGAAAAGTGTAAACTACAGCAATCTGGATTGCAAGTATTAACTTCATGGCACTCCATCATCACTATAAAAATTCTTTAACCCAACACGTATTCGTACAAAATTCTTTAAGAATTTTTCATGATCTGTGTAGAATTTAGAACACTTTCCAGATACAACAATGCCATATTTCCCATATTATGAACTACCATCTAGCCCATATTTTATTATAAAGGATGCTTGTAATTGTTACTCTTTGCAGTCGTAAAAAAAAATTAAGAAATTAAATTGGCAATCATTAATTTATCCGTATCTTAGCTCAGAATTTGAAAGTTCAGAAACAGAGAAATACTTCTTATCAGAGTCATAGCCCACATATTGCTGGTATGCTGTTTAAAATTTCTAATTCCAGTATTCATATAGATGAAATGCATCAAAACAAAAACTGCACAGATTTCATTTAGCCCTGCAATCAATATTCACAGAAAGAAATTGGCTTCAACAGAATGTAAAGTCAGCTCATCTGAGAACAAAGAGTTTAATTAATAATTGCATTTCTGATCCTTCTGACAAAAACATTTTGATAAAAAGATGGCATTCACTATGTCAACAGCAGGATAAGCGCCATATCCTTCAAATAGATCAAAGAATACAAATCACTTTCAGTTGTTGGTAACACTGGCTTACAAAAGGGGAAAAAAACCACAGAGAAAACTGTGCAAATTTATTTTTCTATTTCCATATATATGGTGGTGTTTTAATCTTCTAATTGGTAAAACAGACAATGTTATCAATAAAGTCAATCATTTCAGATGCTCAAAAAAAGGACTTTTATTTCATAGTTTCATTTTCCAAATTTTTTTCCACATTTCAATTACATAAAAAGCATACCTTTTGAACCCTTAAAACTGTTGTGCTGAATAAATAGCCATATTTCTACTCTATAGGGATCATAGTCAGTTAGCTTTTATTCCTAGTGTATCTACTTCCAAAGGTCCCCAAAATATCCTCAATCATCTTCCTTTAATTTCTCAAGGACACTTTATTCCTCTAATTTTCACGAAGCAGAAGTCAACACAATTTTTGTGGTTACTCTGAGTACTTCTAAATTGTCTCATAACTAAATGTTACTGTATTTCTTTTATATTAATCTTTATGATAAGAAACTGTATGTATCTTTAATGTTTTCAAAGTCAATTTTCTGGGTTCCTTCTCCTGCTTTGCCAGTTATCTCAGCATGAAAAAACACTGCAAGGTTCTGATTAATGAAACGTGTAAAAGTAAGTATTTGTGTCTACTTACTACTGTTTTAAAGTATTTAGAGCTTAGTAGAAGTATAACCACCATTTTTTATTCAGAAACAAAGTGCTATATGGGTCTCACATCCTAGGTGTCAATCACTTTACAGTGTTCCTTTTGTGGAAACTTCAGAGGGGGGAATAAATGACAAAGTTAATGACTAGATTAAGTTTGCAGATGAAGAACACAGCAAGAAAGGCAATTCAAAAGGTGGAAAGCCAAACTGAAATTTTTTGTTTGTTGTTTGTTTTTGTTTGCTTGGTTTTTTTTAAAAAAGCATCAACACATATGAGTGAACGAACCGAAATTTATAAAGGCATGGGCAAGAAATTTAGCAGGTGTGTTCTTGCACGTTTTTCAATTCAGCAATAAGACCAGGATATTACAGATTGAACTATTTAAGTTTCAATGCAATGACTGCTAAATTAATGCATGTGGCATAGTATAAACATATGTTTAATGCATTCAATAGTGGTATTAAATGGCAAAGAAAATATTTAATATACTACAATCTTTCAAAGATTCTGTAGAATGCATAGGCCCTCTAGCTTGTACGGGAAAAGAATTTTTAAAGTGAAGAAAATGCCAGAGGTTTTCTTCCAAAAGTACGTATCTGAAATCCATAAAAATGATTTTCTTTTTCCTCCCCACAGACAGAATCAGAACACTGTACCATACAATAGGTTATTGTGCCTTTTTGAATAAAGTTAGTGATCCTGATTCAGGGGCGAGGGGGGGAAGTCAGTAGAGGAAAAAAAGAAAACAGAATTCACACTTGCATACGTATATTTCAGTGGCAAAGCCAACAAATTATGCATATAGACTGCTCTAGATTTTTTTTTTTTTAAGTTTAAAACTTTATTAGACTAAAGAAGAAATCCTTATTCTCCCTCCCTTAAAAGCAAAGGCAGCCTTTATCTGCCTTTGATTTTCTTTTTTTTTCTTTTTTAGTTAAACATTATGGTCAAAAAATAAATTAAAAAAATATAAATTTAGTCTATCAATTCAGGCAACCCAAGATGTAGTGCTATTGCACCACCTTGCAGCAATACTGTATTCATTACTAAAGACTAATTTTAGGGGACAAAAGGCTAGATTAAACAAGGAGAAGAAAATGATCTAAACAAGGAAGCTGTATCAAAAATGAACAGCCTTTTCTAAGCTTGTTCACTATCAACTCCAACCAGAGATGGGAAAGATGACATTCTTAAATACAAAAGAGGGTGGCAGAGGCAGGCAAAGCAAGCCTCCCTCCCAAGCCATCCGTGACCCCTTTAACAAATAACTCGTAAAAATGATAGAATCATGGGGGGAAAAAAATCTGAAATAAACCCAGAAAACGCCATGGATTAACCTTGCATGAAGAAAATATTACGGTGTAGAATCTGTACTCCCCACTGAAAGTCTTTTTTTTTTTTCCCTACAGAAGGTTAGAATAACTGTAAGCTTTTCAAATGCCAGAATCTTTGACAGATATAAACATTTACTTAATTGATTCAATATTTCATATGTCAAAACATATTTCATGACAGTAAACTGAAACATTTTCTGCGGTCAATGTATATCCAAACCTCTTTTCCCCATAATTTGAAAGGCTATTAGAATAGAGCTTTAGAGATGCATTTAAGCATCTTCCACCCAAAATGTTATCAGTCCTGTTCCTTCCTCCCCAAAGGATATCCAAAAAAGGGGAAAGCAATCCAAAGGACGTTAGTGTATTACTGCATTTCTGAAGTGAACAAAATGCAGAGAATTATAAAATTTCAAGTAGTTTGAATATATATTATATGAATCATCCTATCAGAAATTTTACCCCATCCTAAAATGGCTTATCAATTTACGTTCACATAATAACAATTCCTAGAGTCTTCCTACAAATTTAGGAAATTCCAGCCCTCCCCACCCCATCCCCCAAGAGGACGTAGGAGGGAAAAGGACAGGAAGAGGGGACCCGGCAGGTGTTCATTTATTTAACTGATGACATGATTTTAAAAGGTAATATTTGACAAGACCCCAATACCGCAATTTCCTTATAGGTACAATATATCAACTTTCACAGACTTCTGTTTTTTTAAAGGCCATTTTTAAAAGGACAAAATACTGAGACAAGAAGGTGGCTGAACCAACCTTCTCAAACAAAAATAGCGTACAGACAATACAGGCTTAGGAGAAAGGCAGGGTTTTTTCCCAAAGATATGCCACATAACCACGTTCTTATCACATAGCTCTGTCTAGAAGTTCTACATTAGGGCATATCTCTATAGAAATTGATAATTAGGATACTAGGAAATAATTTTTAACATAGACATAAATTCTGTAATTTAGAATACCAGTATGGTTTTTATCCACGATCATTTTTTTTCAAACAGGCTGTTTTAAAGGAAAAAGAAAAAAATCCATTCAACAAGTTTCATTTGACTTTTACTTATGGTTGAATACACATGAAATGTGCTTTCAATGCATAAAAAATCACAGTGGATAGCAGCAAAGGACTTGGGGGAAATTAAGGACAATTTGATCATTCACATTGTGATTAATCTGCACATTGATGAAAGATAGCTATTTCACACTTCTAAAAATAAACTTGAGATCATTCTTTAAAAAAAAAAAAACAAAAAGCCCCCCAAAATACACAAAAAATCCCAAAACAAACATAAATCCAAATGCATTACTTTTCTTTACACACAAAAAATGAAATATTTTTATGGCAGCAAAAGATTTTGATAATAATGAAAGTCTGTAAACTGTAATTCAATCTCTTTTTGTTGTTGTTGTTCCCAAAGTGCAAGATGCAAGATTCCCATAAGCTTTCAGTAGTGCTTTTCCTGTAAATAATCCTTCATTTTGTTTGGCAAAGGCAGTTTCTGAATCAGGTCTATTCTGGTGTACTGACGTATTACAAAACGGCACAGGTATTGTAAAGAACGCACCTGCATGAACCGAGACACTGGATTTGTCAGTCTCACTGGGTAAGTCGCTGATCCAGGCAACCGGGATCTCGAGTAGCAGAAAGCTCCGTTTTCAGAGTCCCTGATTGAATGTTCAATTAAGTCAACTATAGACGTATGTCCCTCCACGTCTGGTTGTTCATAAAAGCTAAACCTACCGTTTGAGTGTTCAATTCTAGTGTGAAGAGTTTTTCCATGGGAACGAAAACTCAAACTTAAAAGATAACGATCATCAGAACTATCTCGAACAAGAAACGAGCCGTCAGGCACATTAGCTAATTTTCCTTCTGCCTCCCAACGTGTAATGGGGCCCCAGTACCATCCTTGTTTTGCAAGTTTTTTCAGCTCTTCCGTGAGGCTCGTCACGACCATAGGACCACTGTTCTGTACAGAATCATAAACTCTTCCAACTCCAGGGGCAGTGTTAGGATCAAAATTCAAATGGCAGCGCATACTTTCAGCCACGTGGGCATCTGTGCCATTCAATCCACTGAAGTTCCTTTGGATTTGATTATTCTGCATTGGAGGTAGCAAAGGTGAGAGCGGAGGGACATCACTGTGATTAACTCTTGGGCTTTGCAACATGACTCCTGTGGTACCAATTAACAAACCGTTCACTGTCTGGTCCACAAAGATATCTGGTGCAACGACTACATCCTGATCCACTTGGCTCTCTTCTTCATGGAAAGCATTTCCCCCCACTTGAGAAGAAACAGTTGAAACTTCCATGGGTGAGGAACTATCCAGACAGTAACTACGTGATCCTTCCAAAGGATACATTCCCTCATCTAAAGGCACAGTATACTGAATGTAGTCCTGAGGCATTAATCCAATAACTACAGGCACATGTTCATCAATATGAAGATGCAAGTCCCCGTTCTGAGATTCCGTATTTTTTAATGCATTGTTTTGTTCCTGGAACACGTTGTCTGACTGCAAGTCATGGAAGTCCTTTCGAACGCCATTCAGTGCTGGGCTTGGATTAGAGGAATGGACCAAGGCCTTGACTTTCACTTCCATTTTGATACAAGTCTCTTCTGAATTCGTAGGTCGAAGGGGCCACGGAGTTGGACTGTAATGGTGATTACGGAGGGAAGTAGATCTCAGAGGTCTTTGAGCTCGCACATCCTTGAAGGTTATTGGAGCAGATGAGGAAGAAAAGGTGTCATCATCTGCAGAGCTTACAGATGGTGTGCTGCCTTTGCCTTTCTGTTTTTGTTTTGCTGAAAGCCTCCTTTTTAACGTACCCATTAAGCTTTCACTTTTTGATCTATTTTTGCCTCCTTTTTCATCTTCACTATTGACTTCACAGCTAGCCAAATCTTTACCATAGCAGCTGCCAAACAAGGAGTCATCTTTTCCAAATTCACTTAACGATGGCTGCTGAACCACTACAAAGTCGCTTTCATCTTTACTTTTATTTAAGTTAAAGGACTTGCGAATTGTTTTGAGACTAATTTTCTTCATTATGACAAGTTACCAAGTCTGGCTGATCAGCAGTGCTTGTGGTGATATAGCCCTAACACATGCAGAGCAGCTTCTGCTTCATTTATGTGTTTTATCCAGCCTCATTTAACTTCAAGAGCCATTTCCTGGAAACAAATAAAAAAACAATTAACTTCACAAAAGAAGTATTTTTAAAATTATCCATAAGTTTTTCCCCCTCTCCAAACAAAACAGAAATTGCAGTACTTAAGTAACAGGCATCAAATAAAAGTAAACAGGCAGCTGATTTGGAAACCAATCAGGCTCAAAAAAATTAGTCTGCTACATCTGCCTTGGAGATTTCCACAACATTTTTTTTTTTTTGCTTTTAGCATACTATTTTTAAAATATACACACACATTACACCACACGCCTAGACATATATATTTAATGCACATAGATATAATTTTCAGGCACAGAAATACCCTTCTCTTTCAGAAGGCTCATAAAAATAACCCTAGAAAATTAACTATAGAAGATAAAACTAGAAAATATTCTAATCCAACAGGATTCCTACATACAGGTTAACCTGTGATTAGTCCTGAAAACACATATGACCTTACAAGGTCATATGTTCTTTACACAGGAAAGTTGAGCAATATTCAAATAGTTACATAATTACAGGAAAATTAACTCCAGTCAAAAAATAGAGAGAAATTAACTGCAAATCTGTTTAGAGCAAACCATAAACTTCTATGAAAGAAAAGTGATTTCCAACCTCTCTTTTAGATATAGAGGAGGCTCTCCTTGCCTACTACTGTTAGAGCTTTTCTTCCTCTAGTACTTCTGCCAAGACTAAGTAGACACACCTGCTCAAGTCACAGTCAACTCCTCCCACCTGGCACCTTCCACAGCCAAGTACCCACCCCCTACATAAGTTCAGCTTGCTTTTTGTGTTGGTGGTTTGGCTTTTGGGGTTTGATGTTTTGGGTTTTTTTAATTTTTAATGTCAGAGAGATTCCAAAAGCAAGCAGCTCTGCAGAGATGGAAAGAACAAGAAGGGAAAGTGAACAGGAGGAAGGTGCTGTTGCCACGGAAGTATGTACTACAGTTAGCAGTAACATATAGCCATTTAACTCCAAATATGTGTTATGTTAACAACACACTGCAGCAGCCTGACTCCAGCCTAAGCATGGCAAGCTGAACGAGTCTAAGTGTCTTTCAAGAAATCTTCCAGGAGTGGGGGACTAAGGGGAAAGTAAAACATCTCTTATGTACACACTTCCCACTTTTCTCCCATGGTATCACAATAAGAGCAACTGAAAAAAATAGTACAATGATGTAAAATAAGTTTTATCAACAAAACAATATGATTTTCTTAAATAACCATTCAAAAATTGCATAAAAGCGTGTAAGAATGATTACTGTAATCAAACAACAGTCCATTGACTATCACTCTTGTCCAGCCCAGCTTTTGTGGTCCTCAAGTACACAAAGGCTAAAGGATCCTACCCAAAGCAAACTAAAAGACAATAAAAGGCTTCTACGGATTCTGGACTTCAAAATACCTTGAAAAAGGGGGGTGTTTAGCCCTCCCAATGCTGGGGGGCTGAACACTGCTGTTTGAGAACAGCAGAAGCACTAAAGGTTGATTTACTTGCATTTATATCCTAGTCCTGTCTTCAAATTCCCTACACAATCTGCATCACCCGACCTCAAAGACCTCTTCTGTCTTTGCCATAACCTCCAATGTTTCCCAAGTCCATCTTTAGAGTATCTTCAGCTCTTCTGATTTCCTTTTCTTAATTGCCAAACTAAACAGCATTTTTATTTCTCTCAAAGGGAAGCAACTAAAAGATTTATCTTCTGCCTGTAAACTGATTTACTTGCCATCAGCAAAGAACATGCTCAAAAACCTTGTTTCCTAAACAAACAAACAAACAAAAGACTAAGAACCAGCTCTTGCTATAAATGAGTATTAAAGCCTTAAAAGACAGGGCTAGTATTTTTTTTTTTAGAAGTTCACTGCTTATTTTTCCACTTTTAACTTGACTCATGGAGTCCTAACACCTTAAAAATGTATATCGCTTACACAATTTGAAGCTGATACTGAGATATTTTCATTTTCTTATGACTGATGCATGCCAAACTATATTTTTTTTTTAAATAGCGATGCTTAATATGAGCTTTATACATTTGGAATAATTGGGTAATAGTAAAGTACTGAAACCCAAATATGAGTAGAATACATTTAGTGGGTTTTATATGCCGGAGATCTGGTGTATGAGAATAACTGACAAAGTACTCTAATTAAGAAAAAGCTAGATACAGATAAGGGGTGAGTTACATATCAATTAAAAGTAGACTCAAAATGCCTTGTTGGCCTTTATCCCTAAAACCATTTGTATTTTGCCATCTCACCAATTTACAGTACTCTTCTTGTCATATGTGACCAAGTGAACCTACATAATAAATTAAAAACAGAACTTCAGGATTCTATGCTGCTCCTAAACTGAAAAATTCAGAGCGTTTGTTCATTTGATAAATTTAACTGTGTCTTTGTGTATGTAGTACTAGAATCCTGGAAATCCTCACATTAGCCCCACTTGTGAAATCCAGCTGCTTCTGACCTGACATCCACAATCTGACACTATTTCCAATTCAGCAAGATACCTTTCCCCATCTTTGTGGGAAGTACACCACACTGTTTGCAATTCCTAACCCTAAAAAAGCAAGCATAAAATAAAATCTGCCTTCTAAGCTATGGAGAAAAATAAAATAACAGTATCATGTTGTCGACTGGGGACAGAGCGTGTGTAGAGCTCTAAATGTCTGGTTCACCAATTATTTTTTTTGTTAGTGTGCTTCGAAAGAATGTACCTAATGTTTGACTGAAGGAACTATGTTTCTTCAGATTCTCCATAACTAAAAGACTAAGCAAGTAGCTTGAAAGAATGGGGTTTTAATCACATTCTAGTTTTTCTGTATCAAATTGTGGGATTTTTTACAAATTAAAATCCAAAATCTAAAAATAATCTCAACAAGTCTTTATGGCAGCATATACAGAAACCAAAATTTTGTACTTTCAGAGTGACTACTGAGCCCGCTTGAGTGAAAGTGTTTTATATCTGTCAGTCTCCCTTAGTAGTCAATAGCTTTACCACGCAAAACGTACGATTGTCCAAATGCATGACTCATTACTTCTAGCATTGTAACACTTCATATGAAGAAACAATAAAGGCTTGAAGTTCCAATGTGAACCACCTAAACAACATGCATATATCCAGAAGTCCAGCTCATTCATCCAGGAAAAGACAGTAAAATCTAGTGAATGACAGTTCAGGTCAAAGCTCTCTCAAGTAAACTGAACACACCTACAGGTGACAGCAAGCCTCTAAACAAATGTCCATATGAGAACCACCCTACTTTATGACATCTCTTACGCAGATTTTATTCAAGACAGGAAAAAGCAAATACACCCTGAAGTCAAATATCATAATTGATCCAGATAGTCTTTCTTTGCACATACTGAAAAAATAACAGTAATTTTGCGTTAAAAAAGCTGTGTAATCAGTCCTCAATGTGTGATACACTCATACACTTGCAAGTGTAGAATTTTTTTCTGCTGTCTACATCTAGAAGAGCTGAAACAGAAGAGCCCAGCATGCACCTCTTCCTGGAATACATTAAAATGCGCTACTCAACTTCTTCACAACCCTCAGCACTGCAGCAGCTTCGCTAGTATTTTGTACTAACTACAGCATCACTGAGGTCTCCCACTGATGTGCTCTTCCAGTGCCATCTGCTGAACAGCTAATTTAGACAGCCTAACTAAAGACATCTCTAGAAATTCTGCTGGCAGGTATTCACCACTATAAACAGACTCTGGGAGTACGCTGGCATCGTTCAATGCCTGGTGGCTGTGTACACAGAAATACCTGGAACGTACAGCCTGAAAATGGAGATTTATCAGACCCGGAAAGAGAATGAGATGTTAACATACAGAATGAAATTCTGACTTACAATCTTTCATCACTATTTCTGCACCTTGGAATCTTTAAAATTACGCAGCTTGACAAAACATAGGCCTCCAGACAAAACTTACCTGAACTACTAGAGTACTACCCAGCAAACACCATGGTCCCCTTGGTGTTTACGGAAAATAATCAAAACTATATTTGCATGCCTCATTTTGAAGTAAAGAAAAACATCTATTAATCACACACACATGTGAAATTATCAGTGGAGAGATTTAAAGCTAAAACTTTACAGGCTGCTTCTCAGAAGTCTGAAGAGCAGGTCCAACAATCATATATTAATTGTTATTACAGTGGCTAGCACCAATTTATGGAAAACTATGATAGCTTAAAAAAAGGTCTGTGCAAATCTAGTTTGAATATTTAATACTTCAGAGCAGTTTCAGTTTGATGCTACAAAATGGTTTCAGTGGACTATAATCACATCGCTATCTCAATGCAGTGTTTGCAAAAGCATACCAACAAAAAGTTTGATTGTTTATATTTATATGGCCTTTATTAATTCCTTATCTTTTTTCACACTTTTAGGTTAGGTGCACTCATTTCCAGAGATTAATACTATAAACAATGTTGCCAGAATACACTTTTACAGAAATAATAATAATAATTAAAAAAAAAAAAAAAAATGGTATTAACTTTCAGGATTTGGGAGAGAAACCACCATACTGGAAAACTCACAGTTGAATGAAAAATTGGCTTTTAAAAATTTTTAATAAAAATATCATCACTAAAATGGCTTTAAACTATTAATCAATGCTGCTTCAGATAACTTAGCCTCTCCTGAAATAAATGCTAGTCTGCTCATATATTCCCGTAAAGTGAAACAGTTGAGCATTAAACTTGATTATTTTTTTGAACGCACAGCTGCATTATTCCTGAGAAGTTTGGCTATCCATTAGAAATATATAACCTTTATTCTTATATAGAATCATAGTAAGATTTAAATAATTTACAGCTTTGAGTCAAGCAGAACTTGCTTCAGAACATACAGCATAAATGTGCATGGAGCTAAACTGAAGAGAATAACGTAGACAGTAGAGCAACAATCATGAAGATATATCTGGAGATTTAGAAGTTCCAACTTAACAGAAAGAAAAAGCTTTTTCACCATGAGGACAGTAGAATATGTTCCCCAGAAAAGCTTTGTAGTCTCCATCCTTGTAGGTTTCTGAGATCCAACCACATGAGGCCCAAAGAAACCTTGTCTATCTCAGGCCTGAGGAGGTTGGACTCGAGACATCCTGAGGTCCTTTTCAAACTCAACAATTCTGCAATTCTAAAATTTTAAAAATCATGAGCTGTTTTAATATTTAAACTTAATATTTTAGATTTATTTTTAATAAAAATTCATGTCTGAGAATATCTAGGAACTTAATTTCCAGCTTCAGTGCAATACTACAAATTTGTTAACTATTTCTACTGAGAAGCAGAACATTCAGTTTATTAAAAAAAGTA